TAGGCGGTCTGCTGCTCCTTCCCACTGGTGTAGCCGTTGTAGAGGTTGTAGATTTTGTCAGCTATCTCTGGAAAGGATCAGGGGGATGGGATTAACGAACAGCCAGAAGGTGCCAGCACAGGAAGAGGAGGAGCGGAGCCCTTGGCAGGGCTGGCAGGAGAGGCGGGCAGCTGGGATGGCTGCCAGTCTCCTGGGGCTGCCTGCAGCAGGGCTTAGCGACCTGGGGAGCATTTATCAGCTCCTCAGGCTCATCCTGCTGCGAGTGCCCTGCACGAGCGGAGCAGCCCCAAAGACTCCAGCAATACTCCATGAAGGAACCGGGAGAAGGCGAGGCGGAGGGCTGCCAGCACAGGGAGACGCAGCCTTATCCTTCCAGGTAGGGCAGGCAAGCTCTTCCCTGATTCACCAAACTAAAAGCAATTGCACATCTATGATGCTAAAGGGTGGGAAGAATACAACACTGTTTATAACAGGAAGGTACTTCAGCCAGAAATACAGCACACCATCATTGTGGGCATCTACTAGAGCAGCTCAGGTGTATTAAACAAGAGGGTGCACTCTCTGCTGCAGAAAAGGATCTCTTTTTGGAAATGAAAAATGCACAAAATTCCATTTCTTTCCTTCTTTTTAGCCTCCTGTTTGGTCATTTTTCCTGGGGATGCTTATCAATAACATGGAACAAAGCATTAATCAAAACTTTCTTTTGTGTGCTTTTCAAAACAGAAAGCAAGCAAGCAAGCAAACAGGTAACCCGCCTTTCACTTAGAGGAATCTTTTCAGATTTGTAAGCAGCCAAGTGCTCTGGGCGTAAGAGAACAAATGGGATTGGTTTCAAATGCAAACGTGCAAAAGTGGTTGGGCTTTTATCTGTGTTTCTGTTTCAGAGCTGAACCAGCAGCCACCAGCATCCTTCTAAACCCTGAGCCAAGAGTGCCTCACACCTCTTGCTGCCCTGGCCCAGCAAGGGCTGCCTCTCTCACTTTCACAAGAAGAGATTGCTCTTTTTCCAGGGGACACGTGTCAAATGTATGTGATCGGCTCCCACGGCCGCGCATGGGGAAGGATGCCGTGGCACCGCGTGGACCAGGACCACAGAGGCCACCAGCTGCCCAGCTGAGGGGACTTTGCTACTGGACACTCCTGCCATTTGTCGCCACTCGCCAGATTAACATCCCCGTGCCCGTGGGTTAATTTACAGGAGCCCTCACACTGGGAGAGGAGGGACTGGAGGGGCTTGCAGGAGTACAACGAATAGAGGAAAAGCAAAATTAGCAGGAAATGTCTTCTGCCGTGGAAAACGAGGTGCCTGAACACTGACCTTCTGCCTTGCTGTCGTCTACCAGCGGGCAGGCTGTCCTCAGGGTGACCGTGCTCAGCTCTGAGTGTCTCCCTCGTGTATCTACCGCATAGAGGGTAAATCTGGAAGGCAGGAAGGAAAAGGAAAATAATGTCTTTATCCCTCAGTCCCATACCGCCAGGTTGTTATGGGAACCGGCCTTCACAAGAGAAAGGAAAAATGTGGTCCAGGCTCCTATCAGTCAGTATTGGCATCTCAAGCAGATGTGAGATGATCTTGGGCTTAGACCAGGAGAGCACCCAGAGGAGAGGCCACCATGTCCCCACGTAGCATCCATGCAGCTGCGTTCCCTCTCCCCCCACCGTCCCTGGGAGCCCTGCGGGGCTGCACCCTGCAGCCGCCGGACTGCAGAAGGATGCCATCATCTCCGGGGTTGCTTTGCCATGCACCGATACAAACATTATAATGCTGTGGTGTCTGCAAGCCGGGCTCCTCTCTGGCCCTCCTGAGAGCGGAGCAGTAATTCCTGCCCTAAGCAGGCTCTGTGCTGACAAGTGACAGCTCGTACACATCCTGTGAACGGCCCTTGAGGTTGTTTTCTCCCTCGTTTCCTCACCAGGGTGGGGTTGGTAAAAGGGTGGGAATGATCATTTCACACTTGAAGCTAATGGAGAGCATCTGACAGTAAAATACGGCTTTTGTGCTGGATGAAGCATTGAACAAACAGGCTGTGGCTGTATGGGATGTCCCGGGATGCTGAGCTCAGAGTCCTGGTCAGAGTATCAAAGCTCCAAACTGAGAATGCTTCTTCGCAGCAGGGGCGACAATCTTCCATCCACTCTCCCAAAAGGCATTGGTTCGCATTTATTCACTCAGAGCCAGGCATGGAAACTCAATCTGGCTTTGACAAAGTGCAGGAGCTGGCTCGAACCCCTCGGGGTCTGAGGTGCCTGGTGGCGGGGTACCCAGCTCCTGAGAAATAACACAGTCCCGCTCCTTATCCTAAGGTAAAACCAAGCAGCTCTTGCAAGTGAGTGCAAAGAGTACTATAAAAGCAGCTGAAGCTTAAATAGGATCGAGACCCTGAGGTGTGTTTACTTCAGGAATGGTCCTAACTCCTTAGCATCCTTCACAGGGACAGAAGCAATGCCTCCCTTTTCCTCACTCCACACATGAGCACCGCCAGCCCCCCTCTCTCCTCCCCGCTGGCCCTACATACCCCACATGCAGCTGATAAGAGCTGACATTTGCACGGTAGCAATTCCCAGCACAGGACATATTCTCTCTGAGCAATTAGCATTAGCTCCTTCACAATACTTGCTGTCTGAAAGGATGCCAGCAGACTGCCAAGGAACCCACTTGTGTGTAGGGACAACTCCCATGTTCACAAAGCTGAGGCATGCAGGGGATGCACACGCTGAGCTCACCCAAGGAGATGCTATTTAATTCTTTGGCATGACATCATTTTCCTTAATTTACAAGGAATGTTGCTCAGAGTGGGAACATCTCACGAAGGACGTCCGCACTGTGCAACTTCACAAGTACCACACACAGGCTGTTCTCCCACTATAACTAAGGGACAGCAACAGAGCAATAGGGTAATATCGAATCCAGGGCAGGAGTCCAACTTCAGGGCTTTTCATCCCATCCCAGACATGCCACCGGCCCTCCTCCTCCTTTCAAAGGTTGAGGGGTTCCAGGTGAGTAAGGAGTCTCCTGCTGTGAGCAGGTAAGTTATGTGTCTCTGAGGCTTGGCAGCATGAACCCCCCTCTATCCAGGTCCAGAAAGCAGCAGCAATAGGGACACCCAGTGTTGGGTGGGGGGACCTCCGCCCCAGCGAGACAAGGAACTCCGCAGTGGGAAAGCTGGGCAGAGACCCCAGGAGTCCCGCTGCCCGTCCAGGCGCTCAGCAGCACAACAAGCAGTAAGAGGGCTTCACAACAGGTTACTGCTACGAGCTGATCTCCAGCCCCATCCTGGGGTCACTCGCTTAGCCACAGCGGCTCGGCTGTTGTGCTTTCTCTTTTAAATGGGTGAGCACAGCTAATGTGTAACCTCTGCTCTGCCCGTAGCAGCTCAGTCAGTAAGGCTCCATTAGCTCTGAGGCAATCAGTGCCAGAGCACTTTCCTTGGAAAACGGCAGACTTTTATCAAAACACAATTGTAATATTCAGCAATTAGTGCCCACATCATCTATTCCATCGCCAGTGGGGTCAGGAGGAAGCATCTCTGCTTGAGCACAGCTAATGTGTAACCTCTGCTCTGCCCGTAGCAGCTCAGTCAGTAAGGCTCCATTAGCTCTGAGGCAATCAGTGCCAGAGCACTTTCCTTGGAAAACGGCAGACTTTTATCAAAACACAATTGTAATATTCAGCAATTAGTGCCCACATCATCTATTCCATCGCCAGTGGGGTCAGGAGGAAGCATCTCTGCTTGGCAGCGTGTTAATGCACCCCTTTGGGCGATGTTAAAGACCTGTGTTAGCTCTTTGACCGCACTTTTCCCCTCTGCCCAGCACACACAGAGACAAAGTCACTCAGCCACCCAGAGCATGAGCATCTGTACCGGTCAGGCCTGGGTTAAAAAATATATATCAACAAACAAGCCCTTCATTTCATCATTCTTTCAGACTGTGTAAGAAAAAAACCCAAAACAAAATGTAAATGGAAAAACATCAGAATCAAAGTGATTTTGATCTGGTTAAAAATCCTTTTTTGAGAAAAAACATAATTGCTTTACCTCACCTGAAACCAGTCCTCTTTCAAGAACCTTAGAGGAAAGTTTTGCATTTCCATTCACTCTGAATGAGATGTTTTGAAATCAGCACCAATACATTGAGCTCTGGCGGAAGCTGGCAGCCCCGGCAGTACGCAGCCCTCTGCACCTCTCTAGCTCCTTCCAGCGAGTGATCTCAGAAGGTTTTCACATTAATTACGGTTCAAAAGATCACCCTGAAGCACAGCAGTATTAATAGTCCTGTTTTATCGATGGTAAACAGAGACATATGGGGTGAAGCATCGTGCCCCGGCGAGGCTCAGTGACATGAACAGTTTGGAAACTCGGGAGATGATGGTTTCCAATCTTGTTCTCAAACCACTTGACCACCCAGCCTCTCTGCAGCAAAACACTTTTATGGCCAGCTAATGGCACTGTGCAGAGTGCTGGGGTTTATTTTTTTCTTTTATTCCCGGAAACAGACAATTAAGAGAAGAGAGTGCAAAGATCTGTGGCTCAGTGTAAACCCGGCATTAACAGGCGGATCTTGCTGGCTGCATCTAAGAGAAACCTCCGGCAGATGCAGGCGACGAGCCGCTGGCAGGGACAGGCCCAGCCTGGGACCCAACAGGGCACTAAGAGGGCAGCCGGCGGGAGGAGAGGGACCACCATCGCACGGGAGGGATGGGGATGTCTGCACAGCAAATAAGGGGAAAACCGAAGTGAGCTCAATGGAGAGAGGGAGCTATGCAGAGCACGTGGGGGCTGGGGTCCAGCTCTGCAGTGCTACATGGAGATCCTCCTGCCGTACCGACATCTACATAAAGCGTTTGGGGCCAAGGACCCCACTGACGATGATGGAGCTGCCACTGATGATGCCAACCCGGATACTCTGTACAACAGAAAAAAGAGGCCAAAGAGTGGTTCTGAGCATTTTGCCCAAGGCAGGGGATCTCTGGGGTAAAGTCAAAGCCAGAACCGAAAAGGTCCCAGACCCACACACAGTGCATGAAACCATGTCAGACAACCTGGAATGCCATATGGTAGCTACGACCTGGCAGAGCCTCCTTCATAACCTGGAAGTGGGTTTTTTAGCAATAAACTTTCCCCGTGATGTTTTCTCATGTTCTCCCTGTACTTTCCAAAGGAGCCTGGGGCTACCTGCTACTATCTCACAGCTGATCCTCTTTTTCACCCGTGCCTCCAGCCAGATCATACATGAACCCTTGGTTTTCTAGACATACTACAATATATTTTGCCTAAAGAGCTTCCAAAGAGCATTTCACCACTGGAAGCACATACGATTGTGGCAGACATCAGCCCCCCCATGCCTGGAAATGCTGCCACCTCTGCGGCAAAACACAGTAGATGAAGCCCTATAAAGTAATGTCACTTAAATGTTTTCTACGAAATTCAACCCTATTGGGACCTGAAGGAACTTTTAGAGAGAGATAGAAAGCAATTAACATGTAGCCTCATGAAATGTCAACCACACCTTCCTCGTAGATGCCCCACCCAACGTTGGCTGAAGCCTGGATTTTATCACTAGGCTCAAGATGCATCTTGGGGGAGAAAGAGAAAGCGGAGGGGGGAGTTAAAGCTTCGTTTCCTGGAATACAATGATTGTGGAAGATTGTCAGTTGTGTTTAAAAAAAAATATACATATAACATGTTCCTATCCTTTCTCAATGCAGAGAAAAAAGGAACCCAAAATACAAAATTCTAAATGCATGAGACCATAAGGCTGAGAATGAAACCCCATAATGTGTTATTTATTTATAGACAACAACGTTGGCTCATGTTTTTTTAACTCCCTCTCATGATGCTCATGATGTTTGAGTGCTTTACTCATGATCCTTATTTGCGGGAAAGGAGATAAGGACTCCTGCATCTGACCTTCCTTAGCTCGGCAGCTGATTTCTTTATATCCTACAGAGATACCACAGGCATTTCTGTTCTGCCTTGTGCACTGCTCTTCCTGAAGCCTTTGGGCTTCAGAGAAAAGGGTCTGATAAGAAGTCCAATAAGCACTCCTGCAGCTGCCAAACACCCGTGCTAAGTAACTGGGTGCCTACGAGTAGCTGGCTGCATCCGAAAGCAACGGCTGTGTGGAACCCGGGATGTGCTAAGGAGACCCCTGCCCCACGTAAATGGGGCACAGGGCAGAGATGCTGCTCCAGAGTCCAGAGTCGTGCAGAAATATCGTCTCATGCTTTCCCAAGTGGTGCAACCAGAGGATGCTTCTGCCAGTAGGGCTTGGCTTGAGCTTGGCTGATAAGCCTGGGCTTGGCGCCTCGCTCCTGTGGCCACGAGACTCTGTTTTGCTGCTACTCCAGCAGCTCGGCGCAGAGCAGACCTGGCCGGTGTCACACCCACGGTGCAATGGATTCGCTCTCCCCTGGCAGTGTGGGTACCACCACCCGTGATGCTGAGCACGAAAACACAAATCCTGACCCAGCTGAGGTCACATCACCTCGGTGTCATATGCACGTCCTGCTGTCACCCTCCGGCTGGCCATGGCTTACCCATGCCTTCTGCACAGCCTGGGGTCTCTGGGCTCGCACACAACCAGCACCGTGCCGCTGAGGCTGGTCCAGCGGGCTGACGCGCACACATCATACCCCGCTTTGCCAGCCCTTCTCGCTTCCCGTTCCAGCTGGAAAACAATTCGGAGGCCTCTGTTTAAAAGCCCTCAATGGACCAGCTCTTGGCAACCCCTGCCTCCCCCCTCCCTGGTGATCTCAACATGGAGACTGGGCACAAGGGACCCGGGGCCAGCAAGGCTTGGGCTGGGCCTGCGCTCAGGCACGTGCAGAGCAGAGCAGCCAGGAACGGTGCCACAAACAAATGCACGCGGGTGTGAACACACTCCTCGCATCCAGCGCTGTGCACACCCTTGAGCTCGGGCAACCCATGAGTAAACACTGTTCTCTCCCAGCCTTTTAGCACCTTCAGCTCCCAGACACCAAGGCGAGGGGATCACTGGAGGCAGCCCAGAGGTGGGGAGGCTGAGAGGGTGTGCGTGTTTCTTTGTCCTGATACTCACAGCAGAGCATAGCAGAGCATCAGTCTGGTGAGCAGCAACAGACCTTCATCTCACTATCTCCTGGCTGCTAAAAACATCAATAAATTTACTCAAACAGTTTCCCTGAAACACTATTCTTGCATGGCAGGGGAGCCCAGGGGTGCTGTGGGGTGAAGCAGAGCTGTAGGTGTCTTACCCCCAGCCACATGTGCATTGTCCATGGG